GAGTGCTGCTGCTTTGAAATGTAAACTCCTGGACCCTTCCCCAGAATTTGTGAATCTCAATCTGCATTTTGGCAAAATCCCCAGATGTCACCACACATATTAAGTTTGAAAGTAGCATTCTATTTGATTTCTCTTCTGTATGTTCCAAAGATATCTCAAACTGAACATGCTGAGAATGGAATTGATTAGTTTACACCCATTTATTAATTTAATGGTTATTGAGTTTGCTGTCTCCACCACTGCTTTAAGATCTATCATGGGAAACAAAACAAACCAAAAAGACCATTACTGCTTAAATCTTTTATTCAAGTGGAGATAACTAAGAAACCATAAAACCTAGTATGTAAGTATGTTACATGCTAGAATGGAAAGTGGTAGGTGACATGGAAAGATGAAAATATTGATCAGAATAAAGACAATCTAAAGTGTAGGGTGGGGCGTGGAGAAGTTGATATTTCCCTTCTTTATTTCATATCTCAACGAAGATCACCTCAGGAGGGGGAAATAAAAAGACAATTAGAATTTTTCCTAAAACCAGAAGTTATCAATTCTAGATTCCTAATGTCTTTCAAAGCTATCATTTTCATGATACCCACTGACAGATATTTTTCACATTCTCATATTTTCTCCCCCAATTCTTGGTTGTCTCCACAAGGAAAACTCACTGCCCTTCTGTCTGTTTCCACGGTGCTGCCGTATGATGACACTTGCTGGAACATTTTTCATGACTCCCACTGTCTTTTGAATAAAACAGAAACATTTTAAGATGACCCGACCAGTGAAACTGATTATAATTTGGCTGCTTCTTACCTTTAACCATAATTGCCATAAGTGCATGAGCTAAACTCTGCTGCACGCAAGTCTGTGAACACACAACATTCTCTTACCTCTTCCTTGGCATCTCCTGAGTTTTGTTGTAGTTTGGGTTTTAATGGCTTTGCTTTTTGTGTGGAACACTGAAGTATTACCTTATAAATACTTCCTGATTCCCATCTCTGTCCTCAAACGTGGCATTTTAACACTGCATCATTAATGTGGATTTTCACCAGAATGTGCTTTCTTAGAAGGCAGGGACTTAGTTCTTTAGCCGCAAATTCCTAGTGCCAACACAGAATTTGGTACTCAATAGTATTTTGTACGTTGCAACAGTTAGCTGATTGCTGATGGTTTGTAGAAAATTGGCGTTCTAGGGTACAATACTTTAAGACAGAATACTTACAAAGGCATGGAGGTCACTTTTGCGGGACACTAAAATATGATTTGAGTCGCAACAGAAATTGAGGGTGAGATGGTGTTTATATCCCCTTCCAAGAAGTTTAAATTTCATGCTGGAGAGAATAGAGAACATTTGAGGGCTGTAGCAGTGAGTGACATATTCTATAGAATTACAGATTTGTGTTTCAAAAGGTGACTCTCAAGGAGATTGGGAGGTGATTGTTAAGGAAAGACTGGAGGTATGTATTCCTAGTTAGTAATTCCAGCAAGAGAAGGTAGGGGTCTGAAGCAAGTAAGGCCATGCAGTAGCCTGGAAAGGGGACTGGAAAAGAGAGATGTAAAGCTTTCCCAATATGATCCATTGGTTATGAAAGGCGAAATGAAATGAGGGCACCATTTGCCAAGACCGGAGTAGGAGCTTTGGGGTCCATTAAACAAAATATCTGTTCAGTTTTCCAATATCAGTTGGAGATCTCAGCATTCCAGCAATTTGCCCTGGGTCTACTCCTTCCTAGGAGACTGATTCCAAGTGGGTTGTGAGTGGGATTCAGGACAGGAGTCACAGACCTTTTGGTTCCTTATGCCAGAGGAGCTGTAGACGTCATCAGTTATGTTTCAGCAGCTGCAACATGAGATTTAGTATTTGTCCATTCATTCCAATTAGTAGGACATAATTATCAGATGAGCATGCATTTGCTAGTAGAGGAAACCAGTATAAAATCTAGTCAGTAGTTATTGTACTAGCAAGAAAGTAAAGCTTCCATTTTTTTTTTGACTGATCTTAAGTTAGAGTTGAGTCAGAGTTTTGCTTTCTGCAACCATTTTGTTGTCATTTGTCTGGTCAGGTTTTGCTAAAAATTTGATCAAATACTCACTAAACTCTTACATGAGAGCTTCTGATCTTCTCTCTGTGATTTCAGATGTTACATATTTGAAAATTACATTTATGCTTTCTACAGATTAATGTTTGTTTATAACTGACGATTTTCATGTATCATCCTTTGAAAGCCCTATGAGAGAATTATAAAATTAATGCAATTGAACATCAGTGCTCACTTTTTAAAAATATCTGTGGGACATATACTGGATGATTTCATGGATATGTGGATGATAGAGGGAGGAAAAAAATCAAAGCAACAGACAAATCTAAATCAAAACAAACTGTAGAAATAAGACTGCAGAATTGAGGCTGCTAGAGGGGAGAATGGGAGTGGGAACAAAGGGGGAGAGTAAAGAACTGTGGGTGCTTTTGATGTAGTTTTTGGAGTTAATGGGTTTGGAGTGCAGGGCTCTTGGGTTCACTCTGGGAAAGGTGTCACCAGAGCTTCCCTTTCAGCAGCACACGCGAGTTTCCCAGGCGAGTTTCTCCACAAGACAGAGATGTTAGTTATATTTAAAGAGCAGGTTTATTAGGGAAAGAGACAGAAGAGTAAAGGAAACTTGCATAGACACAAGCAGGCAGGAAGAGCTGCCCTGAAAGGGACAGGTTTGCTGAGAGAGGCTTGCATGGTTGCAGGTGGGCAGCCTTGAGGAGAGCTGCCTTTGCTGAGGGAGATCAGTGAGGAGAAGTTCTAGCAGGATACAGGTCACGGGCAGACAGCAGGCTGCTGCCCTGCAGAGGGAGAGAGTCAGTGAAAAGAAGCACCTGCATAGGCACAGGTGGGCAGATGGAGTGCTGTCCTGAGCCTGTGCAGAGGACTGCCCTGGTATAGTCTTCTCTTTGGAAAGGGTCACTCCTTTGTGGAGTGGCCTGTTTGCTGCTGATTTTGGATAACTGCAGAATCCAAAAGGGACCAGAGATTTCACAATGGGCTTAATCTCCATATCTTTGCCCTCAGGTCTGTGCTCCACACTCCCTACAGAGTCTGATACCTGCTTGGGCCTTATGCCTTGTGATAAGACACTGGCCCTAAGGATCTTGATTTCTACAGCTGGGTTAATGGTCATGTCAGTTCCCTCCACCCCCACCTCCTTGTGTGAGTCAGGTTTTAGTCTTGTGATGCCCCCTTTAGGTTTTCTATTCTTTCCTCCATCACTTTAGTGGAGGGTTTGGTTTACATCTGAGGAGGTGTGAACCTGTTCCCCTAAATCACAGTGTCATAAATCAGTGTTACTCCAGTAATAAGAAAAAATAAACACATAAAATAAAATATCTATGGGAATGAAGTGTTACAATCATCCCATGATTTTCTAATGTTTGTTTATATCCAACAATTCTTTCTTCTGTCCCTGCCTTACAATTTATATCAGACTTCTGACTTTTCACTCCTCACCTCCCCCAAACCATTTGCTTATGCAAAAAATAAATAAAATCTTAAGGTCTTTGGGACTTGGTCTTTTGAAATACTAAAACTTGAATTCTTGGGATCTCAGAGTTTTGGTTTTAAAACTCAAAAGTCTTCTCTTTTTAAATTAAAAAATGAACCTTTGTTGTATTTTTTTTCAATAATTGATAGTGGAAGGGGAAGTGGTGTGAAGGAAAAACTAAGCCAATGTATTAAGTATTTTTTCTTGCTATCACTTTTATTTTTATGCTTATGAAATATGTTCATATCCGAGATTTTCCATATTTAGAAAAGACTTAATACTTTTATGTTCTCAGTCACCAAAGAAAAGAAAGAACTATGTAGGAAAATCAACCAAGTCTACTTTTTTAAACTGTTAATCATTAGACAATCAATTAGTTTGTTACAAGCCTGTTGATATTTCCATATAAAAGAGAATGTAATTAACGGAGCAAGAAGATGTGGTGTATATATACCCACTGGAATACTACTCAGCAATCAAAAAGGATAAACTCATGTCATTTGTGGCAACACAGATGGAGCTGGAAGGGCTTATTCTCAGTAAATTTAGTCAGAAGAAAAAATATAAATATTAGATGGTTTCACTTATATGTGGAATATAGAGAAAACAAACAAAGGATCAGAAAAACAGATAAAACTTGCAAGCTAGGACCCTCCCTGGTGGTGCAAGGGGTTGAGTGCAGCGCCGTGAAGTTGCCAGCAGCCTCTGCAGCACGAGTTGGAGCTACCCAGGGAGCCAGGGAGCTACCCACATGGGGCAGCAGACCTCTCCTGTCTCGCCCGCTGCTCCCCTCAGCAGTGTACTTCAGTCAATCTGCCTGTTCTGCTCCCCACTTTGTCTCTGGTGAATCCTCTCATCCTCCGCACCTCTGGCCTGTACCCCAGTTCTTGTATGCATAAATAAATAAATCTTTAAAAAAAAACTTGCAAGCTGACCATAGAAACATCCAAGAGGGAAGAAGGAGAGGGATCAAAACAGAAAAGGGACGAGCACAAGGGACTATGGGTGTTAGGGAGGCAGGAGAACTAGGGAGACTAAACCTGAGGAATGATATCAGATATTGCCCAACAATAACAATGATATAAGAAAAAAACTTCATTTAAAATTAAACAATAGAGAAAAAAAGGGAAAAGAATGTAATTCGTTTTATGGTGGTTTCAGTGGGAGAAACTAGTGAGGGCTTTTAGGGAAGTTACGTGTGTGTGTGTGTGTGTGTGTGTGTGTGTGTGTGTACTACTTGGAACTGAAATTGCATAAGATTCATACACAGTGAAAGCTTTCATTACAAAGAATTAATTGAATACTAATTTTAAACATAATTTTTTATCTTGATTATTAGAATGTATGGAATGGATGTGAGAATAAGGGAAGATGAAGAAGTTGCATTTGAAACATTATGCATAAGAAATTATACCATTTGTGCTAGTATTTATTATGGGTTTTAGACATGAGTTCATTTTCTTTTCTTTTCCATTCAGAGAATTTATCAATAGTCTTCGATTATACCGGACCTTCTATGGGGGCCTGGCTGATCAACTCTGTGTCAATGAATTAGCTGCTGCAGACGGACAGCCATGCTGGAATGGAGAAGACATCGTAAAAAGGTACTTTATGTGAAGTTGTCTGTGAAAACACAAAGATTGTTTTCACTCTTGCTTGCTTTTCCCAGATCTTGAATGGATTTCTTCCATGGTAGCTTTGCCATACAGGTTATAGAACAGTATATACAGTATTGCCTTTTCCTTAGTTTGATAAAAATGAATTTGATCCTTTTTGACATTTTTAGATATGAAAACATTCTTTGGTGTTTTGAAAGTGTTTCTCTTCTACCTATCTATGACTTAGCCAACAAAACTACTTTTGCAACTGTGTCCAGTCTGTCTTGTTTATCAAATATCTGATTTCTGTTTTTGTTATAACTTTAGGTATATTAGAAAGTGAGGAAATATATATATATATATATATGCATTGTTAATTTGTATGTTTTCAATTCTTCTCAAACTTGGGGTGCTCTCAAGTAATCTCCTAAGCTTAAGAAAGTGTCAGTATCCTTGACTAGGAATTAGTCCTTTAACTTTCCAGTGTTGGAGATTATTAGAACATGGGTTTTGTGTTGCATTTTGATGTGAATATTTTAGTGTATTTTATTTTGAGCAATCTGCGAAAGGAAAGAGAGTATTTAACTTCCTGACTTGTGAATATATCTAGTCTTATAAAGCTAGGTGACTTAGTTACCACAAGAGAAATGGATTAATTTAAAATAGCATTTAACAAATTTCATTCACTGTGATAAATATAATTTTGTTATAATTTTATATAATAAAAACTATTTCTGGGTGACTATATTCATTATAGTTAAAGGTTATAGTCCTGATATAGTAAATTATTATTTTGCTGTTAATATATGACTATCTCATAGAGAATCTTAGTTTTCACAGAAAACATTTGAAGACAGGGATGGTGATTAAATTTAAATAAAACATTTGGCCAACTTGGCTAATGCTCTTTTTCCAGTTAAGTTCCTTGGGTTTTCATAAATATATCTTTCTTGCCTTCACTTTGAGCAGTCATAGCATGCCTCGTCATTTAAGTTCTTACAATATTCATATAAATAATATTGCTGCCACTTAGATCTATTAAATTCTAATTCAACTTATTCTTTCTCTCTTCACATTGTTCCAACTGGAATTGAACTTTTTTGTATGTTGATGATTTTTCTACAAGGACTAATGGAAGTACCATGGTGATGAATGAAATATTTAGCACATTATATAAATATATTTAATATATTGCATTGCATTACATTATATCACTTGAATCTCCAACTTTCAATGTGTGCCTTTCTTCTCTTGATTATTTAGTGTGGGGTTTCTGTAATAAAACATATTGAAGAAGTAAATGATTTGGCTAGCTTTTTAGAAGAATAGATAGTATTTCAATTCAAAGAACATATTTTCCTTATACGTATCCATCTCTGTATCTATCTGTCTGTCTGTCCGCGTATCTATCTACACATATATTTATTTATTAGTCATCAGATTTTAAGACCACATTCATGAAACCATGAACTATAATAAAGGTCATCTTTAGCAAGAATTCTTGGTATTTACATTTCTGAAAAAGTGATTCTCATTAATCTCATCATTTTCCAGCTCATTTTCCCCTTTCCTGTACCACCCCAGCCTCCTGCTTGTCAGTCACTTCCCAGCGTGGCTATCCTTCACTGGCAAACAACTTTCACTTTGCCTTAATCTTTTCTCAATCATCTCTTCTACCTCATCACTGTAACAGTTGTTCTTCCTAGAAAAAAAATTTATTTTTCATCCTAACTTCTTGATTCCCAACTGCCTTTGGATTGCGAGGCCAGCAGACAAGCCTCACATGCTTTGGCTATCTACCACCATCTCTAGGCTACTTCCAAAATGAGTATTTTTTAGTCTTGATTATTTCTTAGCAGCTTAAGGTTTCACAAGCATTTTCTCATTTAATTCTCTAAAAACTTTAATCCCTCATCCTTCAAAATTAGTGGATTAGGTGGTATCTCATTTGTATTTGATGTTAAGAAAACTTTCCTGTGGTCTTTGACTTTTTAAAAAGATATATAACTAAAATTATTTTTTAAGTGAATTCTTGATAAAATTTAGAACAGGTTTTTTTTTTTGGGTCAGTGGGAAGTCAACACTAAAATCTGTACATTCATCATATCTGGTTGGTCATGTATATGCATGACAGAATAGTGTGTAGCAATCAACAATCATGTATATTTATACCTGGTAATTTGATATACTACACGTAAAAAATAAGATACTAGTTATTTTCTAGCAGATTTGAGTAAATGGAAGATGCTGATATTGGTTCTGCATAGATTAGCTCTAAACGATTACATGTAAAATCTAATATACATTAAGGGGAAGGATTTTATTATTTTATTTGCTTTATATTTATTTTTAAAGAAAATAGATGTTATAGTGATGATAGAATTATTGCCATGTTTTTTATTTTTATATATTTTTTGAAAAATGATATATTTACATTTAACTTCTAGCAATATGGATTTTGGAGTGATTTCTGTGATGTAGGTTTGTCAAAGCATTGATAGATTTGATTTAATAATGAGCTAATGAATTTATCTCGGAGGAATTCAATACAAAGTTTGAAGTTCTATTGAATATTGTCATCTTGAATTAACTACCTTCTCCTTGAGTACAAACAATGTTTAGCAGTGTTCAGTGGTAAAAAGTACTAAGATCTTCATATAAGATATTCATTTCAGAGACCTACAGTTAGTTGAGATAAATAACACCAGCAAATTTTGAAGAAAAGAGTATCAAGCAAATGTATACCACATCTGGGGATGATTAAGACCCCCCCATTTTTATGGTAGGTTATAATGTTTATCGAGTATAAGCAGATATTTCGCTAACTCTTCCCCAATCTCTAGGAATTCATGACATTCATAGTAACTTGCACCAGTCAGTGGCTGTTAAGTGTCCTCGTAAAAAAATTAATCAGCCATGTGGTTTCTAATCATGACTTAGTGAATATGCTTCTATCTTAATCCAGTGTTTTCTAACCATATAAGTTGCCCCTTCTTAACAGATTACAAGTGAACTTCTATAATCAGATGAAAATATAAAAGCTGACATTTGATAAAAATATAAACTTCAGAAATTTTATGCTTATCTATTATCAGTTTCTTTTCACCAACGCAGTGGAATTTTTCCTGGGCATATATTATTTAACCACATTTTTGCCTTTTATCCATTATCTATCTGAAAACCATTTAGTCTTCAATCTTGCTTTTCTTTCTCACTTTTCTACATTCAGTTACATTTATTCAACTTTAAAAAAAAATCTGACCTAGTTTCCACATATTCTGGATTACATTTAAGGTTCATCAGATCTCAATTTGTACTTAATTTCATTAATGTAGCAACTAGTATCTTCCACAGTGCTGCTTGTGCAGAAGGCAGTATGTTCCTTATGACTTAAACATCAGTCTGCTTTCTAGGTATTTTTCCCCCGTTAAATTTTTTACTTATTCAACCAGGTTTCCTGATATATCATGAGTCATCATTATTACTGTTTCCGTGACTTACCTTATTTGGTTCAGAATTGAAGGTTGTTTAAAATATGTGATTAGAAGACATCACCCTTCCTACACTTTTGAAGTAATTGACTGTGGGCCTTGAAATTCCCACTATTAACAGACTCGTTTTCAACTAAATGTTATTTTTCCAAGCTACTATGTATACAGCTTTGTCTAACTCCCACTTTCATCTTTAGTCCTAGTAGAACTAATCCCTCCATTGGTGTTTTATTGTAACCTCTAAATCCACCATGACATCTACATTACATTTTGTATTTATGTCCTATATCTCCTTCCTTCTTGCCTATTGTATTTTTTTGTAGCAGAGATTCTATATTATCTGAGAAGCTAAGGAGTGATTAATACATTGAATACCTATGAGTAAAACTTTGAAGAGAATGGCACTCAGAGGAAAAGGAGTTTTTATAAGTGTTAATGAGAGCTGCGAGGTTTGGGAATTTGGGCTACAGCTTGGTGATAACCCTTAGGTGGGTCATATATGGGTGCAAAATTAAGTTGAATGCCGGAAACATGTGAAGAAAAGAGTTCCATCATAAAAATTTCTACTTTTGCCTGTCCCTGGAATTTTTTTCTGATTTAACCTTTAGAATACCCAGGTTTAATTGTGTGTAGTTCTGTAGACATTTTTCTGAAACCAGAGTGCCAAAAACTATAAGCAGCTCATGTGATCTGGCTTAGAGTCATGTTAGATGTGATTGTGTCTGAATTCAGGGTGAATAATTCCATGTCCTTCCCAAATCTGAGCAAAATACTTTTGCTCTCTTGTGATAGAAATAGAAAATGTGCTTTTAGATAAGGGACTGTAGAAACCAGCACCTGTACAGTGTGCATTCTAGCTCCATAGAGGCAAGGACAGTTATGGATAATGTATCGGGTCTGGAAGGAGCAGAACATTTGCAGAGTTCTGGGCTGTGTCTTCTCTGTACACAGTCTATTTCTTCTTTATTTTACTAATAGTATACTTGCTTGGCAGATAATATTTGTTTAAAGCTAGAACCTGAAGTAGTTACCTTATTGTTTGATTCTAAAGGAAATAGTACAGTATAAAGTGGCAAGGATTTGCCTGTTTTACCAACTTTGCTCCAAATCCTGACATTCCTAATATTGTTAAAGTCTAAGAAAACATCCATCCTTTTCAGATTAATATATACATTTTGGTCTTTTCTAAAATTGATCCATTAATTTGATAATTGTTGCACAGTATCTTATTTTCCAAGCTGAGAAATTTCCTTTGAAACTTTCTTCATTGGCCTAGTGGCTTAGCAGTGAGTTGTCTCTAGTTAATCTTGTAACTATTGTATTCAGAATAGAAAATGCAGTTGCTGTTTCATTTAACCAACTCCAAAGGCTGCTTTTGCCTTGTCATAATCAATTCTGAGAATGTTTTTGCCACTGCTGTTGTATGGTAGATCTCCCATTATCACCAGTGCCATACACAGTTTAAATACAGTCCTATAAAAAGTCAAAATGTGGGGCCTCCCCTGGTGGCACAGC